TTTGGAATTAGAATTATGCTGGCCTCAGAAAACGAGTTTGGAAGTCTTCCTTCTTCTTGAATTTTTTTGAAATAGTTTGAGGAGAATGGGTGTTAGTTCTTTTTTGAATGTTCCGTAAAACTCCCCCTTGAAGCCATCTGGGCCTGGGCTTTTGTTTGCTAGGAGAGTCTTGATTACCTCTTCGATTTCCTTAGTTGTTATTAAAGTTTGTTTACTAACCAAAATTTGAAGCAGAATTTTATGAAATGGACCTAGATCATATCAGAAAGCAAGGACGCTATTAGAAACCACTAGAGAACTGTAAAAAACACTCAGGAGCTACACTGAAGAGCCTCCCACTACCAAAGATCAAACAGGTTGAGCCCCAATAAGAATAATAACTGCACTGGATTGAAACCTATCAAATATGTTAAAAATCCTTGAGTTCATAATGATACTTAAAAAAAAGTCCTCACTGGTCACCTTTGGAGAGTGCTTAAGAATCAACTTATCCTAAAATAAAGGAGTACGACCAAGTATTTATCCTGTCTTTCTCATATAAACTGTACATAAATAACTCAGTAGTCTAGTAATTAGAGAGAGGACGTTTCTGTTTATAAAGTATTCCAGCTGAGAAATGAAGATGACAGATTAGAATATCACCATTTTGAAAACTCCTAATATAATTACTGATCTAGGAAGTCATCATTAATGATGCCAAAATTATAGAATGACAACTAGATATTATGTTCCTATGAAGTGTTCTCCCCATCACCATAAAAATAAATGTCAAAAAAAGAGACAGAGGAACATGGTAAATACACCACAGGAATTCAATCACCAAACTAAAGACTATGGGAAAGTCTACAAGGCAAACATGTTACAAAAAAAAAAAGGGAAAGGGGAAAGTGAAGGAGAAACTACAAATTAAAAGACATATCAACTTGCCCTGGCCAGTTTGGCTCAGCGGATTCAATTCCGATCAAGGGCATGTACCTCAGTTGTGATTCATCTGGACCTGGTTGGGGTTGTACGGGAGGCAACCAATTGATGTGTCTCTCACATCCGTGTTTCTCTCTCTCTCTCTCCCTCTCCTCCTCTCTCTCTCTACCACTCTATCTGAACAAAAATGGAAAAATATCCTCCAGTGAGGATTTAAAAAAAAAGACATATTAACTGAATGCAATGCATGAACCCTTATTTGAAAAGTCAACTTAAAACATGTGGAAGTCCTCAGAGTAATTTGAACACAATTGGGTATCTGATGATACTGAGAAAGTGATAAAGGTATAGTGTTTATATATTCCAAAGAATCCTTATTTTATAGAGATATATATGGAAATATTTATGGATGAAATAGTGCTTGTGATTTGCTTCCAAGTAACCCAATTGAGTGTGAGGTCGCAAATGAAATATGACTAACTATAAGTTGGTAATTTTTAAAGCTGGATGATGGGTATAAAGTGTTCATTATTCTAGTCTATCTATATTTCTATATAACTGAAATTTTCCATAATAAAAAATTAGAAGGAAAAAGACTAAAATTTGAGTTTAAATAACTGGGAAACTGGTTCAAACATGCTCTTTATTCTTAATGAACCATAAAGGATACCAAAGATGTTTAGGCTCTGTGTTCCCACTAGATCTAGCCCACTGCCAACTTCCCATGCTATAGAAAATCTTTAATGAGAATGAGAAAAGAAAACAAGAAATGGAAGCAAACACAAACCATCCCAGGAGTTTTTCCTCTAATTTTCCTATAGAGGTTTAGTTTCAAAAAAAGAAAAAAAAGAGTAGACAAGCAATTAACCTCCCAAAGAGATCAGGGTAACAGGCAACAAAGAATAATACTCTGCATTCACACAGTACTTTAATGTTTTTTGGGTTTTTTTGGTATGTGCCTCTAGCAGGAACTGACCCCTCGACTCTCTGGTCCGCAGGCCGACACTCCAACTGCTGAGCCAAACCGGCCAGGACAGCACTTCAACTTTTTAAAGATCTTTAATATACACGTCACTATATCATTTGACCTTAACAATAACCTTGTAAAATGGACTTCCTAGAGGAAACTACAAAGAAGTCACAAAACTAGTTGGTAGCAGAAAACAAATCTTCTCACCCCTTCTAGTGCTTTTTCCACTAAACTGTTCCCTTCCTATTCAATTTAATTATTCAGTATGAAAGAAAAGGCTCTTCAGATCTCTTTTATTACCATTAAAGTCACAAATAGCCGAGAACATGTGGGTTGGTATAGATAGTTACTGATAATCTGTTTCTATGTTGTATAGCTTCCAAAAGACATCAAGTTAAAAAGTTATAAATATTTAGTGTGTGTGTGTGTGTGTGTGTGTGTGTGTGTGTAGCTGTGCATGCTCTGGAAGGTAGGGTAGAGAAATATACATACCAGCAAGGATCTTCTTTTCTAACATAATAAATTGATACTTATCCTATTATTTAAACATTTCCCAATTTCAATGAAATTGCAGACTGGAAATCCTCTATATACAATGAAAAAATATTCAACTTATTGGTAGTGAATAATCAAATCTGAGATAACTCAGATTCTGTACTTTTCTCAACTGTGCATTTCTAGCTGACTATCATTTACTATTCTATTGCAAGCACTTATTTTGACTCGCCAAACATCAGAACAGGAATAAACCAGATAGGCCTGAAGCCTGGCCTGCTGAAAGATGCTACACCTAAGAAATCCAAGTCCCACCATGAACACGCAAGAATGTGCTGGGATTACCTGCTTCAATTACTTGTTCCTGATAAAAGCCGGCAGATATGTATCCAAAGTTCCTGAATGAAGGGTGTCATCAGCAGATATAAGTCTTTATAAAGACCCAAGAATCCTTACTTCCCTCTAGAAGTATGTTGTGTTGAGTGCTGAGTATCCAAGTCTTTTACAGAAACTTCACACTCTCAAACTGTCAGATGACTCTTTCTGACAGTGTAGTAGCACTGTCCTGATATGACAACCACACTACAAGCAAATATCCCTAATATTAATTACTTCAAATCATTAGAGCCTTCTCTTAGAAAGTATTACCCACTTAGGTACTTTCCCTAGAATATGCAAAATTCAAACTGAGGCAAACTCATTGCTAATAAAATACCCAGACTACAGGGGCTTATTTGAGAAGAGGATAGAGACAACTCAACATGCCATCATTATGAATGTTCCATGAGTCTACAAGTTCACTTGAAACACTTACATCATCATTCTAGTACTATCTCTGAAGGATTATTTAGAAATGGAATTTGGAATAAAATCCACATTTGCAAATCTCCTATTGTATGCCATGAATTGTGCTATCTACTTTATAAATCTCTCATTTAATCCTAACAGCCCTTTGAGATATTTTCATTATTAATGTCTTTTCACAAATGAAGAAACCAAGACTCAGGGATGTTAAGTGACTTAAGTCCAAAGTCTTAAAGTTACATGGCATGGTCAAAGGTGAACCCAAATCAGTACAAATATCTTTATGATTTTCTTCTTACCACTTTCCAAAGGAGTTGTATTGTAATGATACTAGAAACAAGGATACTCCTACTTCAATTATTTTGTGTGCAAAAACTGATGGCTTTAATAAACAGCAGGGACTACCATGCCTGGAACCAAATTAAACCACTACCTGTTTTCATATATCCTCATCTGTTGAACTGCATAAAATCTCTCTTTACTAGTTAGACCTTGTGTAGTCAGAGGAAGAGCAGAACATGTTTTGTTCAACCTCTACAACATCTTCAAATATTTGGAATAGATAAGATGCCCTCCACATTTCAAAATCTATGAATAATAATCTTTCTACAAAATTTCCCAAACAAGATTTATATTAGTCTACTTCAAAGTAATGAACCTTTGAATTTTATTATAAAATGAATAATTCCAAAACATGTAGGCTTCAATTTGCTGAAAGCACTGTAACAATGAATTAAGACTAAAGTACAAAACATTCTCTGTAAATTATATGTATTATATAGCTACATTAATATAAGAATATGGGTAAATGGTAAAGGCTATCATTTTTAGAGTACTTACTATGTGCCAAGTACTTTATACATGTTTTCATTTTGTACCTTACAAAAGCTTATACGATTAGTAACTCCATTTTACAAGCAAAAAAACAATGAAAGGTCACATAACCTGCTCAAAGTAATATAGCTAGCAAGTAATAGAGCTAGAATTCAAAGCTAGGTCTATCCAAATCCAAAAACCTATGCTCCTTATCACCACCATTTATTGCATCCTTGTTCTTAACTGATAAACATTTCCTTTTTCCACAATTCTAAAACCAGTCTATAAGTACATACATACTTACTTAAACCTATTATTAACTATATCCACTAATTTGTCATAGTTTCTACAGTAAAATCATTAAAAGTGCCTAAAAAATTACCATTAGAAAAATTCAAGTAAATTTTCATAAAATCTTGAGAAGTCAAGAACAGATAATTCACACAACAAAACTTTTCCGTTACTTCAGTTATTATTCTTAAAAAATCAAAAACAAAACTGATGTAAACATGGTAAGGACAGGAAATTTTAAGCATTTAAGAAAATTCAAATACTATAAACCACCTGCCTAAAGGCTGAACAAAAGAATTCATTTTTAAAAATTACATTACCTTTAATACTTAATGACTGAATTATGGATATTATTATATTCTGCTCTTTATATAAAGTTTCATTATCAGCCAAATAACAGAAAAGACATAATCATAACTTGGACAATTTTAAACTTCAAATAGCTATTATCTCCTATGTTCCAGTATTTCAAATTTCTTTATAAAAGTATGTCTAAAAAATAAGTCAAATAATATTCCCCAAACATCAATTCTCCAAACTATTAGAGTTTGAACATAATACATAGAACTTTTTAACATACAATATGTAGTTTAAAATAACATATTCATTCCCTGTTGTTTATTAGACACATTCATTAGATTAGTTAACAGGGTAATATAAGAATCATTTTCTAAGATATGTCAAAGAATAGATTAAGTCTTACCTCCATTGCTAAAGCTGCTGTCTGTTGGTCATAATGATTCAGAAGATTAGGCATGAAGGTAGTATTATAAGGCAAATCCTGGCACATCCTCAAGGTAATAGGTTCACAAGAAAACAAACTGTGCCCACCTATATGCCCCACAAACATAGTCAAGGGCCAAAGATAGAAGACGATCCAACTCATAGCCATGCTTCTTGGAGATTTGGATGATCAGGCCTATTCAATGTATTTTAGATCTTTGTACACCTGCAGGTCTCAGCTTGAAGACGTACTTCTTCAATATCTTACTATTAAGTTCTTCAAACAGTTAAATACTCTGCACCATCAGAGGTTTGTTAGCTTGGTCTCACAAAAGGCATTTGTTTTTGGTTTCACGATACGGAAAAATGACATCATCTTGTCTCTTCTTTTCATTTTATTACATAGGGCACATTTGGCTAACATATCGAGTTGATCAACCACACTCCCAAACAACAGATTCCATCTTAGGAGAAGAGCTATTTCTTCCTTTGATTGAAATATCTGAAAAGCATTTTTTTTAAAATGGGAGAAATTAGTCATTTCCTCTCAAAATACTGTGAATTTGATACAAAATCTTTGATAAGCTCAATATTATAAGATAGAAAATCAATATACAAAAATATTGAATTTTTATACTGTAATAATAAACTATCAGAAAGAGAAATAAGCAACATTTGATGAGAGATATCATACTGACCTAATAGATAAAATACATAGGTATTTCATAAAGATATAGTATAGTTTTACTACCTTATCATTAATGTTATAAATATACTAAAACAATCCGTAAACAGCATTTAAAATATAAAATAATATTAAATGTCAACTTCAACAAATTTTAAAAAGCATTTAAAGGCAAATTTTTTCCCCTCAATTGTTTATATATAACATATGGTTTAACTTGTCTATATTGATAGCAATTTTCATTTACCACATGCTGTAATTGACCCATTTTGGAAAATTTTCATGCTGTTGTCCTAAACTTTATTTAAGTAACTGCTATAGTTACCATTTAAGCTATTGAATTTTAAATTTATTATATGTGTCTTAATAATTAACAGTATATTTTTACATTAATTGATTTGGCAGAAGGTATCCAAAAGAGATGAAATATAAATAAAATAAAAAGATATAGATTCAGCCCTGGCCTGGTGGTTCAGCTGGTTGAAGCATCGTCCCATACACCATAAGGCTGCGGGTTTGATTCCCACTCAGGGCACATACCTAGCTTGCAAGTTCGATCCCCAGTCAGGTTGCGAATAGGAGGCAATCGATTGATGTTTCTCTTTCACATCGATGTTTTTCTCTCTCTCTCCTTCCTAAGAATCAATAAAAACATATTTTCAGGTGAGGATTAAAATATATACATATGCATTCAAGCCCCTTAGTAGTTATATGAATGGAACCATACTGTATACTTAACTTCTCTGAATTCATATTTTTCCCCCTGAAAATAATACATCAAGGATGATATAAAAGTGAATTAAGCCCAAGACAGTTTTGCTCAGCGGTTAGAGCATTGGCCCGAGGACCAGAGAGTCCCGGGTTCGGTTTCCACTAGGGGTACTTACCTTGGTTGCAGTTTGTCCCTGGCCCGGGTTGGGGTTGTGTGGATGGCAGCCAGGATGTGTCTCTCTCACATCGATGTTTCTCTCTCTCTCTTCCTCCCTCTCTCCCCCTCGCTCTATCTGAAGATGAATGCAAAAACATCCTTCGGTGAGGATTAAAAACTAATAATAAAAAAAGTAAATAAATAAAAGTGATTAAGAGATAAGGTATATAAAAGTATTCTATAAATGATAAGGCAGAATCAAACATTAGATAGTTTTTTTTAACTGAATTACAGTTCATACAAAGGCTACCTTTTTCAACCAATATTGAACTGGCAAATAGAAAGCTCTAAAAGTAATAACAGGAAATTTTCCCAACATTGCGTGTCTTTTTTTTTTTTTATCCTCACCGGAGGATATTTTCCACTGATTGTTTTCAGATAGAGTGGGAGGGAGAAGAAAGAGAGAGAAACATTGACATGAGAGAGACACATCCATTGGTTGCCTCACAAATGACTCTGACCGGGGCCAGAGATCAAACCCACAACTGAGGTATGTGCCCAGTCACAGGAATCGAACCTATGACTCTTTGGTCTGTGGGCCCTCACTCTAACAGCTGAGCCAAACCAGCCAGGGCTGCCTATTTTTTAGATAGCACAGAAATTCAGTACCATACACAGATGCAGAAATATCTAATCAAGGAATGTTTGTTTCATTACACACAGCCAGGCTACAAGAATAGAAATTATCCCTAGAAAGTCAAAGCAGGAATAGGAATGATTCTCAGCTAGTTTCCACTAAGATTTTGAATTACAGCAGCTCTCAACCTATGGGTCGCGCCCCCTTTGAGGGTCAAATGATCTATTCACAGGGGTCACCTAAGACATAACAGTAGCAAAATTACAGTTATGAAGTAGCAACAAAAATAATTTTATGGTTGGGGTCACAACATGAAGAACTGTATTAAAGGATCATGGCATTAGGAAGGCTGAGAACCACTGTGAATCTTTGACTTGCGTCTACTTATCTAGGGGCAAAAATACTTATCTCGTTTGGGGATGGGAGGGTATGGGTGGATTGGAAGGCAGGTCTGGTAGGAAAAAAGATACTCTAAGTTATAATACTTTCATTTTGTTTAATCATAATGTTAAATTGCCTTTTTTTTAGTTTTTTTTTTCCTTTTTTTTATTGATTTTTAGAGGGAGAGAAAGGGAGAGGGAGAGAGAGAAACATCGATGAGAGATAGAAACATCGATCAGATAGAACATCAATTGGCCACCTCCTGCATGCCCCACGCTGGGGATTTGTCCCACAACCTGGGAATGTGCCGTGACTGGGAATCAAACTGCGACCTCTTGGTGCATGGGTTGATGCTCAACCACTGAGCCACACCAACTGGGCCAAAACTGCTTTTATTTCATTTTGTTTCATATGCAATGGATATTTCTGTGTTTGTTGTCGATAGCCAAGTTTGGGAAAACGAGAAAATCAGGTTCAGAAATACTCAAAGGTTAATTAGACAATTTAAATACTAGGGCTCATGACAGCTTAGACCTTGAGACCTACAATTGGTTTGGCTTAAGCAGGGCAAGAAACTGTCCTTTGTGCACTGGTTATCAACGATTGAAACCTCTGCATCCCAACCTTTAGTTACTATGCAGAAAAAAACTGTTTGGAGAGAGTAAAAGAATGTCTGAATCTTCCCAATTTCTCCCTCTAGCAAATGGTCTTGAGTAGTGGAAGAAAAAAGAAAAATCTGTGGCTTCTAGAATTAGTAACACTAAAATTATGAGCACTCCCTGCCCCAAATGCCTAATTTCTCTATATTAAGATCTCTAAATCAGAAATCTTTGTAAAAGCTTCTTGGCCTGCCGTATTTTTCCCCCTCCTTTAAGCGTGCCGGAGTAATGTTAAGTCTGGCTATAGAAAACTGGTATTAAACAGTCCTTTATATTTCAGCTTAATGACCATGCAACACAGTAACAATTATGCATATCATTAAATATGTGTCAAATAACTGCTAAAAGTGTTCTCTGGTTACAGCATTAAAACATCCATGTAAGTTCATCTTTAAAACTAGATGAAATATCCCCTTAATACTTTTTCCTACTCCATCTATTTTATCTGATTTCTTCTCAATTATTTCTTTTGCCTAATTTGAAAGTAAAGCTTCCCACCATCTTATAATCTTTCTTTATATCTTACATCTATATTACCATATATCAAAACTTTTGTAAAATCTACTATGTTAGGGTGGACTAGGACAATAATCTTAATATATCAAGATTGTAATTTATTATTATTAAAATAAATAAGAAAAAAGTCAAATGCTGTGAAACAAAAAAACATAAGACTAAAAACAATAAAAATATTAAAGAATTTATATGTCCCCCAAATCAGAGGTTCTCTAATTTTAATGTGTAGCAGATTCATGGATTGCCCCCACAGGTCTAAGGATTTCTAAATTTCTGTAGCATGACATGCATTCTAACAATTATCTCAGGTACTGTTACAAGTGCTCCATAAGTCACAAATTTGAGAAATGCTGTTCTGAAAAAGAATAATTTAAAAGAGCAGAAGTATATTTTAATATAATTATATGCTTAGCAAAAATAATCTATAAAATGAGTTTTAAAAACAAAAGCAGCTAAAGAATAACACCTTATAATAGAAAGATGGGGAAAAACATGATTTTACAAAAGAAATACAAATAGCCAACACATAAAAAGATATTCAACTTGACTATAACAAAATGCAAATATGAGATATATGAACTGATTTTCAAAACTAAAAAAAATCATATCACCTATCAGCTGAATCAAATAGTATACACATTTAAGAAAAACTTGATATGTATTTCAAATTATTCTTCAATAACATAATGAAATATGTGCTTCTAATCAGGATCATCTGAGTGTGGGTAGCAAAAGTCATTTTTCCAAAGGTAGGGTCATCATCCACGGAAAAGCCTAAGTTGAAGTTCTAGACATGCAGGCCACAAAGAAGATTCTAGACCCAAATGAATACTACCAAAATACAGCAACTCATTAAATAAAAGTAATAGTTGTTTTGACATTGTATTTTTTACTAAAAGGAATCTGCAGAATTTCAGCTAAATAAAGGGACCTGCTGGGTTAACATAACTGGAGCGAACAGCTTCAGGGACCAGGAGCCAGCAAAAAGTGAGTGATATGGCAACAATTTATTCATGCCATGCCTGTGGGAAAATAAGCACATTCACTTCTCCATAGAGCAATATAAGATATTTACAAAACTAATTTCAGATTAAGTTACTTACCATTCCATCAGAGAAAAAAAAAACAAAACTAGATACATTTAAATATACATTTTAATTTTTATGAATATATAACACCAGGAATCTGATATTCCCCAATTACTAGTTTTCTTTTGATGATAAAAAGTAAAAGCCTTAAAATATGTTGAGTATTTGTCCTTAAGGATAGCAATAAAGGCGAAGGAGATACAATTTTGGAAAGCTGGTTGCAAAGTCAGACCCAAAGAACAGAAGGTGGCAACTGTGAAGAGGAAAGCAGGCTGAATACCCAGAAGAAACAATGACAAAAGTGGGCCCTGAGGGCTTGTCAAGAGGATCCTGAAACAAAAAATTATGTTCAGCAATTCTATTCCAATTTACACTCTCTGTACAGAATGTGATCCCTTTCATCATTCTCAGTTTAGATTTAATTTTCTCGACAGCCTATAAACGTAGGCAACATTTTGCATTTCCAATTCAGAAATACCATCTAAAGGTTGCCTCACAACACTGGGCTCTACAGTGGAAGTAGGAGGAATATTCATTGTCTGCTTCCAGAGGAGTTTTCTAAGAATGCATTGCAAGAATTAGAAATAACTACCTCTAACAGTTTCTTCTCTCAAGGACATTGTCTTGTTAGAGAGAAAAAATATACACTCAGAGCATACTCACTGGTCTAAGTGTTCTGGTCCTTTTCCTAAAACCTAAGTGACCCATGTGGTCTTTAGCCTTTGTTTTCCACATCCCATTCTTTAAAAAATAAATTCATTTTCAAAATTTGCCTCCTTGTTGCTAAAAGAAAGTTTATATGACTTCATATTTAATTCATAGGGCTAGATTCCTATTAATCTCAGAGTTATCTCTCTTGTGATCTTTCTTTACCTAATTTTTAAAGTCCATCTTGTCATCTACTGATTACAACAAATAGATTAATCTTCCAATGTGCTGAGTGATAGGGCTTACAGAAACAACAACGGGAAAAACAAATACATCTAGGTTCAGAATTAAATGAATAGTGAGCATCAAAATCCAGTCCATTTTACAAATTATAAATTATTTTAAGACTAAAGCAAGCAGAATATCTTTTATATGAACCTGAAAACAAAAGTGTAAATTTAAAAGATGGCCAGATTATAGACCAAAAAAAAAAAAGCAAGTTGAAATTCTGCCCCAGCTTCCCTGTCCAGTAAAATCTGTTCATCAGAAAATTCTCTAATATCAAGTCTCTGATTTTTTTCCCTTAGCATGGTTGTATGGTTTATATCCTTTGACTATAAAGTTATTTCAATAAGATAAAATTTAGGGACCAGTATTTTTTTTTAAGCCCACTAGCCCAGTTATAATCATCTCAAACTTCATTTGCAACACACTCCTTGGATCCACCAAAACTGTCAATACTTTTCAGCATAATGAATTGGAAAGCCAAGAGTGAGAAGTCACCTTTGACACATGGTCAGTTAAAACTCCTTCCTAGCTAGTGAGGAGTTCTTACTCTTCAAATATTTACTCCTATCCCTATGGAAATGTCACTATTAAAAGTCTTCCCTTCCTCAAACCCTGCCACACATCTTATAAAAAAATCTATATTAGCCCTGGCCAGTGTTGCTCAGTGGTCAGAGCATCAGCCCTTCAATGAAAGGGCTTGGATTCGATTCCCATTCAAAGGCACATACCTGGGTTGCAGATTAGATCCCTGGCCCTGGTTGGGGTGTGTGCGGAAGACAACCAATTGATGTGTCTCTCTCACATCAATGTTCCCCTCTCTCTCTCCCTACAGCTTTCCATGCTTTCTAAAAATCAATGAAAAATATATCCTCCGGTGAGGATTAAAAAAATAATCTATGTTGAATAATTTCTCCAGTACGTATTTTCCAAATGATGCTCTTTGTGTTTTGCTTTTTGTGGGCAGCTTCGGCTTTAAGCAGCTGTAATTCTACAGTTTTAGGAATAAAAAACTTGAAGCCAACACCACTCTCCCCTGTAAAAGAAGGTCAAGATGTGGTAGGAGCTGTTTCCTACCACCTGTCTCCTGAAGAATAAAAAATCAGGAGCAGTCTAACATCAACAAACTAGTATGCTCAAAATACATTTTGAATATATAAAATCTTATAGTTTTACTGACAAACTAATACAAAATTTAAGTTTGGTAGAGATTTCTTCCTGTCAAGAGGGAAACAGAGTACTGTGAGTCAAAACCTCGCCTCTCCTTCCCCAATGATAAAACTTTCACATTGTACTATACTAAAAAAATGTGAACTTTACTATTAAATTCCCCTCAACCCTCTCTACTTCAAATATCTCAATCATGGAACCCCTCCTCCCAAATCCACCCAAATGTTCAAAGCACAAAATAAAGCTCAAGGGAATATAGTTGGTAAGATGAGAAAAGGAGTCTATAGTCCTTTCTTCTCCCTCTATTAATGAGCCAGTGTTATAAATTTAGGAGAGAGGAGGAGGTGGAGACTATTAGTAGTGGATGAGGGGGAAAAAAAGGAGGAGGAAAAAGAAGATAGGATGGTAGGCTTTATGAATTGTTTCCCTGATAGTTTCAAAGCATTTGGTAGGTACAGGAGGCACATGCTCTTTCACTAGATAAAAGGCAACCTGGTAGGAGAAGTGCTGCATCTTAAGCACATATTTTTTATTTTCAGCTCTATCCTTCCAAGCTCCCCCCACCCACCTGCCCCAGTTTAGCTTTTACACGTCTTTCCTCCTCTCCCAACTCTGAATCTTTTCACCTTATGTGTGGTTTGGTAGTTCAAGTAAATGCGTTTCCGCCCCTGGAGTAAAAAGACAGTACTGATTTGCTGAAAAGCACGGATGGAAAGCGTTATCTCGAGGAGTGATTGCTTCTTAATAACAGAAGGGAGGATCTGCCCCGAGCCTGTCAGCGCACCCTCCAAGGCTGCTGAGGGAGGCACCAGCCCCGTGTCAGCCAGGTCTTTGTTTCTTCGCCGCTGTTCCGCTGGCTTTGCAGCGTGACCCCATTCCCACCCACGCACACGACAGGTCCGTCCAAACTACTTCTGCAAAATACGACCGTGTTCGGACACTTTCGCGCGGCGGTCACTGCTGGACCTGCCCGGCTGCTCTGCGGCTGCCTCTGCCCGCATTCAGCAGGGAACCGAAAGGCACATTTTCCTGTCTGATTCGGGGCAAGACACTGGACCTCTTTTCCTAAGGTAGCTATTTCTCAACTTCGAGCCTACTCCGAGCCCGCAATTATGACATGTGCTTTTGTGTTGGGGTGGGGGGGAGCCCTCTTAGAGAGGAGGCCCCCGACTCCAAGGCTCGGGAGACTTCAAGAGCCTCTGGGAGGACGTTGAACTGTCTTGAAGCACCGCACCTGTATGTCCGAGGCCACCTGCTAACTGCCCAGCTGCCCCGTGCACGGGACACGGGCATACGCGGGTGCAGCAAGGGGAGGCTTTGGGGACGGGAGAGCAGAGCGACTTTTGCAAACTGGAGGGATGGAGGGACAACTTTTCGGGTTCGGAGACAGGAGGTCAGCCAAATGCTAAAAGGAGTCCGGGCAGGGGGACTCCTAACGCGGGGCCCCGCCGGCCCTGGGCCCGGGGCGCGGAAGCCCTCGGCGCATTGTCCTCCCCCGGCCGCGGCCGCGTCCTCCTCCCACGCGCCCGGCGGGCGGGGAGCGCCCCACGCCTCCGCGGCGCCGGCCCGCAGCGGGCTCGGCGGGGCTGCGGGCACGCTCCCCCAGCAGGGTTCGGGCCGGGGCGGGGAGGGAGCCGCGACCTACACTCGCACAGGTTGTCCAGTGCGGGCTGAGCACGGCAAGGGTTAATGATCTCCCCCGCATCTGCCCACCTCAGCCCCCCGCGCCGAGCCCGGCTCCTCCGTATCCCCCGGCCCGCCGCCGACCCCGAGACGCCCCTCCGACCCCCGCCACAGCCCGGCGCCGAAAGCTTTTGTTTTGGCCGCGACGAGAATGACGATCCCAGAGGAGGAGGTGGCGGGGCTGCTGGTGGCTCCTCAGCACAGGGTTAGAGAGGAGCGGGCAGCCGCGGCGGCACCTCCTCGTTCCCCACACTCCCCGCGCCCTCTGCCCGCTAGCCCGACCGGGAGACCGCACGCCTGGGCGCTCACCTCACACCGCGGGGCCCGGGCTCCAAGGCGCGGGGTGCAGCGCCCGCCGCGGACGGCCGCAGGTCCCTCAGGTAAACCGAGCGAGCGAGGACCTCCGGCGCGCGCCTCGAGCGACCGCGAGCTTTCACGAGCGTCGGGGCGCGCGGCCTGGGGGGGACGCGCGCACGCGCGCGCACGCATGGCGCAGGCGCGCTGCGCACGCTCGGCCGAGCGCTCCCATTTTGAGCCCACTCAGCGCGCTTCGTTGTTCCTTGCCTTGCGCCCTGGGTGATCCCTCGCCCTGTCCTGCCCCCGCGGAATCGTTCACATCGCTGCAAGCGTTCTTATTAAATGTGCTCAGCCCTCTTTGCAGAGCCCGCCCCCCCTCCCCCGCTGAGACAGCGCGGAGACTCTCACCGCGCCAGCCTGTGATGCTATTATTGCAGGACCGCCAAAACCTGTTCTGAGAACGAATGCGCCGACCGCGGGGGCCCGGCCGTGGACGCGGTGGGGAAGCGGGTCCGCGAGTGCTCAGGGCGGCACTGAGTGCCGGGAGAGGTAGGCAGCCGGACTGTTAAAACAACAGCAGGCAGGGTACCCGCCCTGGGACAGTACATATCCTCTTTGCCAAGACCTCGGTGAACAGGTGGAGTGTGGTTAGTGATGATATTCCCCACCCTTTTGCTCCTTAGGAAATATTTCCCTTCTCTTTTTCTACATAAACCACTTTGGGGCTGAAATTACCCTAAGAAATCTCAACCAACCTCTCGTTCTTCAGACGAGGAAAAGAACGCCCAGAAAGATGAAATGACTTACCCAAAGCCACGCAGCGTTGTCATGACAGTCTAGAGCCATTCAAGGCCAAAGCTGTTCTTTTACACAATCTTACCTACTTTTTTTGCTCTTCCTTCTTATTCCTTTTCAACCTGGACTATAGAGGCATCATTTTGTTTGTTTGTTTGTTTGCTTTTTTGGTTTTTGGTAATACAGGAATGTGAATGCACTTAACACTACTCACCTGTACTCTTAAAAATGGTTTAAATGTTAAATTGTACGTTATGTATATTTTACCACAATTTTTGAAAGGTGCTCAATAAATGTCAAATACATATTGAGTATTAAGCTTAGACAGCTATAAGTATAGTTTAACATCAAAAGGTGAACTAGGGGGGAAAGCATAATAAATGAGATCTTAAAGTGGCATTTTCAGTTTTCCTGATAAATGTATACTTGTGCAGTAATGTTGATCCTTAAGCTGATTCTAAGCAAGCCAATGTGTCTTGTGGCGCCAACACTGCCTTTACTAAGGGTGAGTGAGGAGGCAAATATATGTGAAAAACCACGTGTGCCTGCTTTATATATTTCCACATTCCTTGTATCTGCGGAGCCTGAGAGATGTGTACACAGTGCCCTTTGAAAACTGTCAGGCATAGGAAATATGGGGAGGTGAAAAAGATGTAGAAATTATCGCTGAATGTATCAACATGATTAAATCTCAGAAATATAACACAGTAAAAAAAGCAAATTATAAGATATGTAAATTATTATACCTGTTTAAGAACACCTAGCCATATTGTTTATGAAGGCAAGCGTGTGTGTGTGTGTGTGTGTGTGTAATGGACAAGTAGGTTACACACCAATTTCATGGCAGTGGTTGCCTCTAGGCAGGCCAGGAAGGGAATGAGTTGTAGAAAGTGTACAAAAAGGGTTTCAACTATTCATCACACACAGGAAACAAAAATGTTAATTTTTTAAAAATCTCGGTGGGAATACAACGGTTTTTCTTATGCAGATCTCTAAACTTTATGTTTGAAATGTTTCATTTAAGAGTAATGTTGAAATATTGGGGACATTGAGCTGGTGTGAATGAAGTACAGTGTGAATGGTGTCATTTAGACTAGGGGGTCATGGGGGTGGATCAGCAGTCAAGACTGATGAGGTGCTGAACAATAGGAGGCCCAGAGGGTGCTGGTTAAGAGGATAGACGAAAGAACCTTATTTTCAGGGATAAAAATATTAAAATCCAACAGGGATAAAGTGTGATGCTCTCTTTTATCCCCTCTCTCTTTCATTCCATGTTCTAACCACCAATAGAAAGGCTTTAATGAGCGGGAACTTCACAGAGAGACAGCACTCTTACAGCATGTTGTTAAAACTGGTCTCTTTCTGGATGAACCCGTTTTGAAACCATAAATGTTAACTAGCAATAGATGGTAATTTAGTATTGCATCTACATACCTCCACCACCTAAGGCTTTGTTTATTCATATACATATAACCTGGTCATGTGATAAAAACCACTAGTCTGGAATTCAGACAATCTAGGTTCTAATTTCAGTTTGGCCACTTACAGATCCTTAGTTAACAATCTCTATTGTTGAGTGTCACATTTCTTTTTCTTTTTAAATTGGAGATATACAAATACTGCCTATTTTTATACTATGAAATAATACAAAATTAGGGCTTATATTTGTTTAAGTTGGAGGAAAGCATTCTCTTCTATTTTGCGAGGAAAGTCTTTGGGAGGCAGGGTTGTTTTGTTGTGTTTTTTGTTAGCTGCTACCCATAAGAACTGCTTTACATTTACCAAAGGAGCTCTGTCTGAAATTTTGAATTTTGGGTTATTTTCCAGCCATTTATATATAGTTCTATCACAGCAGTTATCACTGTAGGCCTTACAATTATTTACAAGTTGTATTTCTCAGTCTAACTTATTAGATTCTTTTTTTTTATCTTTGTATTCTCACTCTGCCCCCCCCCCACCCCCCATTACATGGTGGGTGCTCAATAAATTTAATTAGATTAGACCGGATTGTAAGATTTCCCACGTTTGGAGTTATTCTTATTAAGGCATGCCATCTGCTGGTTCCACGATGTATCTGTCAGTCAGCCTGAATTCTTTAATAATCCGATCAATTAAAATTCATGTTGAAGCATTTGTGAGTTTGTGTGTTAGGCAATTTTCCCACATCCTCCCACTTCCTGTTACAGGTGCCATTCTTTCATTGAACCAGTCGCGAATTCTTTCTCTTCCAACCCTCTTTTACCTGTTGGCCACTCCTAAAATCTGGAAAAACGGAATTCATATTTCGGAGGCTAGGAGTGACCAGAGCAATATAATTGGGCATGCTCAGGAGGTTGGCCCGATTTGGAAAACAAATATGTCTTGAATGAGGGCTTTCAGTGCTGTTTGTTTCAGAATTGGATGCATCTTCCTTTTAGCATTATATTGGGAGATTGCGGCCCTCCCACCCTCTTGGCACTCTCACTTTTTCATTATATCCGTGTGCCTAATTTTGGAGCCAGCCCTCCTGGATCTCCTGGCCAATCAAGAGACCACACATTGTTGCCTAAGAGACCCCGGATGCCAGCGAAAGGATTTATAGATGATGATTGGACTAATGGGAGCTAGCGGGTGGGGGCTGGGCAAAGTAAAAGAAAAAGCAGCTATGGCAACATCAGCGCTTGAGGCTTGAAGAGGGAGTCCAGCTGAAAGAGGTGAGGCAGTGGGGTAGTGCATGAAAAAGATAGAGACTCTCTTTCCAGAGCTCCACTCTCAGACCCTCCTGGGCCTCTCACAGGCCTTGTCAGTGTTCCTGGGAATTACGTTTTGCTCCGTTTTAGCAGCAGTTAAAGTGCCAGATGCTTCATACTTGTGAAATTAACAACCAACAAATAATTATTTCTATGCCAATCAAGCACTAGCTCTTTCTATTGTATTATAGTTTTTGATTTCTAATTAGTTAACTATAAGATGAATTAGTGTTTATATCTAACCATACCCTATTGCCTGATACTTTCCTGATACTATCTGAGGTTCCTTTCTCTAATGATACTGCAGGGTACAATGAGTGAGTTATGTGTTAGCAGAGAAATTCAATTCTATTCTGCTCTGTAAACTCCAAATAAAAGCCTGATAGTGCTGGGTATAATCCTAGTTCCCAGTTCATAATGTTCTGAGTTTCACTGTACATTTCCACTAGTTTAATTTTTAAACTGTCCCCTCCACTGTTGCATTCATTCATTCAGTTGATCTAATAGATATGTATTGAGCATCTATTATGTACTATGAGATTAAGATTCAGGCAGGTGGTCTCAAAAAGCCACATAAGCAAAGAAGCATCAGAGTTGTAGATTGTTTTTTTTCTGAGGGCTTGGAAGTTCAGTGCATCTGGGCAGATAATTCATGAAGGAAGAGAGAGGATAGTAAGGCTCAAAGATAGACTGAGGTAAATTTATAGTGGACCTAGACTTGCATGCTAAGCAGTTTGGATATTCTGTAGCCATTAGCAAGCCTCTGAAGATTTTTGAGCTGAAAAGGGACATGATCAGCTAACTGATCTTAAATAAATAAATAGATACCGCCCTGGCCGGTTTGGCTCAGCGGTTAGAGCGTTGACCTGCGGGTCTGGAGAGACCCGGGTTCGGTTCCGCTAAGGGCACGTACCTTGGTTGCAGTTTGTCCCTGGCCTGATTGGGTCGTGTGGGTGGCAACCACTCCATGTGTCCCTTTCATGTCGATGTTTCTCTCTCTCTCCCTCCCATTCTATCTGGATAAAATATAAAAAAGTGTGAGGATTAAAAACAAAAACAAAAACCTCCTGCCCTGGCCGGTTTGGCTCAGCAGTTACAGTGGCTGCCCATGGACCAAAGAGTCATAGGTCCAATTCTGGTCAAGGGTGCCTACCTCTGTTGTCGGGGTCATGTGGGAGGCAACCAATTGATGTGTTCCTCTCACATCATTGTTCTCTCTCTCTCCCTTCCACTCTGCCTGAAAATAAATGGAAAAATATCCTCAGGTGAAGATTTAAAAAAAAATACCTCCCTAAGTAGAATGACGGTTACCAGAGGTGGGATGGAGTTGAGGTGAGATAGTGATCAAAGGGTGCAAACTTTCAGTTATAAGATGAATAAGTTCTGGAGACCTTATGTACAACATGGTGACTATAGTTAATATAATGTGTACTTGAAATTTGCTAAAGTGAGTAGATCTCAGGTGTTCTTACCACACAAACACAGTAACTATAGGGCAGTGGTTCTCAACCTTCCTAATGCTACGGCCCTTTAATACAGTTCCTCATGTTATGGTGATCCCCAACAATAAAATTATTTTCGTTGCTACTTCATAACTGTAATTTTGCTTCTGTTATGAATCACCATCAGAAATATGGTTTTCCGATGGTCTTAGGCGACCCCTGTGAAAGGGTCATTCGACCCCCAAAGGGGTCGCAACCCACAGGTTGAGAACCGCTGCTATAGGGGGTGACGGATATAGTATTAGTTTGATTGTTCATTTCACAATGTATACATATAGTAAAACATTACCTTGTATACTTTAGAAATATATAATTTTTATTTGTCAAAAAAAGAAAACTTTCTAACAGTGAACTAACTGTATGCTCCATTTAAGCAGAACTCTTATTTTTGTACCTTTAATACAGGCTTAAGAGGTCCTAAGCAAAGTGGGTAGTGGTGATAGTGTGAAGACTGGTTTGGAAGATGGAATTAGAGATGTGTGGCCACTGGAACTTTATCTTAGGACCCATCCTTGCTGTTAAACATGGAAATCGAACCATACACTGGGAGCTAAGGCTGTAGGAAAGAGGTCACAAAAATAGCAACAGCAAGTTTTAGATGTGGAAGGAGGGGAAGACAACTTGCTTTGTCTTGTCGATAGAGTGGGGGCAATTATTTTTGTGTCTGTCTTTATAATAACCCTGAGTGGTCTATACCGTGAACATGTGTGTGCATGCAGATATGCATACTACCTGTCCTCTGGTATGAAGGGAGGAGGAAAATTGCTAAAGGATGATGACAAAAGACAGGGTAGGACACCCCATTTTCATGCTTCAGCAGGACTGTATTACCAAGAGGGCTGTTTTTCCTGGCCAGGCCCCTCTGCTGAATACCAATTTCCCTCAAGTTGATTTGAAGAAAGCCTAGTTCAAATAATTTTTAGCTCTGAGAAACCAGGGGGGAAAAAAAGAAAGAAAAAAACCAGTGCAGGACCTTGGGGAGGCACTAGAAAAGCTCCTATGTCCTGATTCAAAAATTTTGCCTAGTTTGTTTCCTACACAGTGAGAAGAGCGAGAGTTTCTCAGCTTACAGCAATTTTTAACCTGGGGTAAGCAATATTTTATGTTTATGTGCATTTTTCTAGGGAGAAGATTCATTGCTTTCATCACTTTCTCAAAGTTATTTGGCCCTCAAAAAACAACTGGTTTAATTAGAAGAAAGGTCAAACATAAACAGAGAACAACAACAAAAGAAAAATCTAGTTTTTGCCTTCTCACATGTACTTTTGTAGCTGCCACTTAATAATACTGCAATTAAATAATTTCTTATGCCTTTTGAAACTTAGTTTGACATGTGTGAATTAGATAGTTAGCTGTTAGGGGGCTGAGAAGAAGGTGAGGACTGATCTGAGCCCCTTTATTCCAGTGGTATGATGGCAGCAGGCAGCTGTAAGAAGGGATTGTCTAATGATGCCACTGAGATTTGAAAACATTGGCTTTATCTTTAGCTATAACTTAAACCTGAGAGATAATATTACATGTCAAGTAAGAGCCTCAAAGATTTCAAAGCTAGCATTTGGGGGAATCCCCTATCAGCCAAAAACTAATAATTTTTTTAAAAAATTGTTCAATATTTGCTGCTGTAGAGTAATTTTTGGAACCCATAGATCAGGCAGGCAAGTCCCAGTCCCCTCTGTCATCACCACTGCCCTTCAGTATGAAACCCACCTTCAGAGGAAGGAAAGCAGAAACACGGAGGATATGTATTGGAACTACCATCAATGTGCTTCAAGTGTTTTCTACCTTAAAATATTTTGTCGTGGTCTTCTAAACGGCAGGTATTAAGGCACTCTGTGAATAATAGGAAGTTCTAAGAAAGGCTGCAAGGAAGTTACTACTTATTGGGGCCACCTATCTGTCAGGCAGTCTGCTGGGCCCTTATTCTCTAATGCTCACCATAGCAGTTGAGTGCAGATGTATCCATTCTTATTTTACAAATGAGGAAACTGAAGCTCAGATAGATTAAATGACTTGCAAAAAGATATATAGCTACTAAATTGTAGAGCCAGGATGAAACCTGTATGAGATAAACATTTTTGGTTGTAAACAATAGAAATAGATTAGAGCTAATGTAAGCAAAAGAGGAAATTTATTGCAAAGATATGTGATTCATGAAATGGACAAAATAAAAGGCTTCTGAGGGATGAGGCAGCAGGAACAACTTAACAGAGCACCAGTGCTACTTTGAATGACCACCTCAGATGTAAAGTAAGGATAAGCCCGTGTTGGTCCAACTGGCCTAGCTCCATCTCATGACCACCTGTTAGCCAGAGAAGGAGAGACCACATTGATAAAGCAACCTAGCAAACTCTAAACAATGAGGGAAATGTAATTCCTCATGGAAATTACAGTTCTTTAATCAAACGAAGGTACACATGTACTGGGCATTTAAAAATAGCATCCACCACCCCCCTCCAATAAACCCAAATCTTTCCATCTCTAAAGGCTTGGTGTTGTATATTACATCATTCTACTTCTTAAATATGGTATCAAGCTAGAACCCTTGTAACTTAGACGTCAGAAAGTTAAGAAGGGAGGAAGAAAGTTACAAGGGACAAGAATGGAGTGTCATATTGCACTGTAGTTTTATAAATTAAAATACCTTTCTAGCCAATATGGTATATTCTTAGCTAGGAGTGATTCTGAATTTCCCTCTGTGGTCCAATGAAAATAAAGCAGAGGTAAATAGACCTGGGTCTGATTTTCAGTTCCAGCACTTACTATCTGTATAATTTGGGGCAGAGCATTGTAACTTAAACCAGCTTCATGTTCTTTATCTACATAATGAGTAAAAACCTACCCGTTTGCCTGATTGTTATGAACTTTAATTGAGCATACATATGAAGTGCTTTCAATAAATGTTTTTCCCTTCAATTCCTTCTCTCAATATACTAAAATATTTTATGGTATTAGTAGTTTTAGTACAGTATTCTGAAGATTGTGTGATTCAATTCTTTTGATAGGTTAAGTTTTTCTTATGGAAGAATACCAAGTTAATTCATGATGGCATTTGCACCTCCAAAAAGCACAAATGGTTCCAAAATGCAGACAAAGATGAGTACCTGGACACCCTTAAACCATCAGCTTTTGAATGACCGGGTAAGTGACCAGAGTTATTTTATCAGTTGCATCTGTGCTTTAAAGAAAAGAAAAGGAAAGGAAAAAAAGGATTGCCCTGGCCAGGTGGCTCAGTTGGAGTTTCATCCCAATATGCCAAGGTTGTGGGTTCAATCCCTGATCAGGGCACATACAGGCCTTTAGAGATGGACAGATTTGGGTTTATTGGGGGAAAATGTGCTGTTTTTAAATGCCCAATATATGCCTGCCTTCATTTGACTAAAGCAGTGAATGCATAATAAGTGGGACAACATATCGATATTTCTCTCTCTCTCTCTCTCTTTTTCTCTCTCTCTCTCTCCTTCCCTTCCTCTCTCTAAAAAATATTCAGTTAAAAAAATAGTAATAACAAGGTTTTTTTTGTTTTGTTTTGTTTTTTTCTTTTTTTTTTTTTCCTCACCCGAGGACATTTTTCCATTTTTTGTTCATATAGAGCGGGAGTGAGAGAGAGGAAGAGAGAGAGAGAGAAACATCGACGTGAAGGGACACATCGAGTGGCTGCCACCGCACGACCAACCAGGGCCGGGGACAAACTGCAACCGAGGTACATGCCCTTAGCGGGAACTGAACCGCTGAGCCAAACCGGCCAGGGCATAACAAGGTTTTTTAAAGTAGTAAAAGTTTGATATGAAAATCTGACTATCAATTATTTAGGATTGTGTAATGGATGAAAAAAATGAAGGATTTTTTCCAAAAATTTTTATTGCGCTCTTGCTATGTGGGCAAGGTTGGAAATAGACAGAGTCACTACCTGGGATGAAAATGTCTTTCTTAGATTTGTTCTTTCCTCAGTCACTGCTCCTCTCTTATGACAAATGCCTGTTTTCTTATTTCACTGGTTCTCTGCTGGAACCACCAGGAATGAGAGAGTAGAGGGTGGTCTATGAGGAGTTTTCCCCAAAACAGATTTTCTTGCTAGAGTTGCAGTTACTAGATAATGGTGCACATTTAATCAAATAAATAAAATGAATAAATCTCATCCCATTACTCACATGACTCAGGTTCTCCTAAGAATTTATTTCCGACCTGCACTCAGGAGAGGCACTAGTAGAATACACTAAACAAAGGATTGCAAGAGTGGGAAACTGAATATAATGCTGGGGTATGAGATTGGCCAACCTCTGGGGATTTCTGGTCCTGCTTCGGGGGCAGATTTACCGACACGTCTGTGAGCTCCTATTATCAATACAGTTGGCCCTTGACCAACACATGTTTGAACTGTACGGGTCTAATTATACACAGATTTTCAACTGTGTGGGGGATCAGCATCCTTAACCCCCTCATTGTTCAAGGGTCATTTGTACCTATCACAAGGACCACACATAGTTGGCAATAAAATCAACATCAACAAAACTGACCTCATTATCTTGCTCCTACATACTAGCTCCTTTCCTTGGTGAAACACCAAGTCCCACTTCATACCAAATCATTTAAGGCAGACATCTTCCTTCCGGAATTTGTTTTCCCCCAATTTACAAGCTAATAACTTAGCCTGTTACTTATGGCATAGAAGACACTACCGTTTCACAGTAAAAGACATATGATTTTCGGGTCAGAGACAAAGAACTTTATTATTCACAGTGCAGCAAGCAGAATGAGCAGCATGTTTGAGTTGGTTCTTCTTGCCCGCCTTGTCGGACAGGAATGATGTAGAGGGCCCAGATAAATATTACACACACCTTGGGTTTGTGTCACAGCTAAGGAACTATGAGCCCAGAGAATCCACTGCTTTTATAGTAAGCGTTTAACAAGCCTGCTCTTGATCCCAAAGGGAGGTAGTACTGCATTGCTCGAGGTTCCCTTGCTGTAAGCAAAACTTGGAGAAATGATGGTCAGGGCCTTGCATTCTTAGTACTCCAAGACATCTAGGGGTGTGAGAAGCACAGAGAGGAGTGTCTACCAGCACCTCCTCACTTCCATATCCAATTTATTTTCAAGTTCTAGGAACCTGCCTCCTAGAGCTCTTCATCCAGACTCCTTTCTCCATTCACCTATACATATCCAGCCCCACATTCTCAGTTCACACCGTCATCACCCTTTCACTGGTGCATTGTAATAATCCTTAACAGGTTTCACTGCCCTTCCTCCATTCACCTATATATCTCCACCTCCACATTCTCAGTTCACACCCTCATCCCCTTTGACTGGTGCATTGTAATAACCCCCTAACAGGTTTCACTGCCTCTGTCCATACTAATCCATCCTCTATCTTGGTCCCAGAATATTTCTAAAATACTAATCTAATTCTATTATGAAAAAACAATAACGGGTTCCACTCTGAAGGGTAAATTCCAAACTCCCATGCATAGTATTGAGGACCCTTCATGTAATCGACCTGAGCCAGCTCCAATCCCTTCCACTGCTTGCTTCCTAACTTATCCTATATCCAGGTCAACTGAGTGGCCCCCAGATGAGTCATCTCTCTCACTCCTCAACACCTTTGCACATGCTCTCCTCATTGCCTCCTAGAAGAGTCAACTAAAATATAATTTTCTCTGGGAAGCCTCTTCCTGCTTGCTTTTCTTTGCTCTCATTACTTTTTTTTTTTTTTTTTTTAGAGAAAGTAGAAGGGAGGGAAGGAAAAAGGGTGAGGGAGAGAGAGAGAGAGGAACATCAGTGTGAGAGAGACACATGATGTGATTGCCTCCCACACATGCCCTTACTGGGACTGTGGATTGAACCTGCAACCCAGGTATGTGCCCTTAACTGGGAATCAAACCCGCCACCCTTCATTGTGAAGGCCGATGCTCTATCCAGTGAGCCACACCAGCCGGGGCTGCTCTCATCACTTTTTACTGACTTTCCCACTCAATTCTAGTGTGTTAAGAGTTGAGATTCTGTCTTTTTTCTGTCTGTCTCCTGTGCCTGATATGGTTCCTGAAGCACAAGACTTGGAGTCACACTGGGACCTCCCTCCATTGACTCTCACCTTTCTTTCCCTACATACCTTCTTCCTTAGCCTGGATTGAGCCTTTGCTTCTCTGAACCTAACAGATATGCTCATCCATATGCAAAGCTGGAGCACCAATCCTGACCCCTCCTGATTAGTACTTTCTTGTTTCTACTCCTCTGATGTGAAACATGGGCAATTTTGGGAATGAGACAGAGGAGCCAGCATAGTCATCAGAATAATGAGAAATAAAAGAGAGAGAGAGATTGAAAAGGAAAATGATAAAGGATAGCAAACTAACGAATAGAAAAGGAGGGACCAGGAGAAACAAAAGGAAAGGCAGAGAAAGAGAGAGAGAGAAAGCAGTCTTTATCTAGCTATGAACAACCCAGGTCTATTGAAAGTCTTTTTTATTGAGCTCAACAGTTATTTGTTGATCACCTATTTGCAACAAACCTATTGCTCTTAGCTCTCCAACAGTTTATATAGCAGCTTCTCTGCTCCCCACCCCCACACCCAGAACCTTAGAGTTTCATTTTGAAATCTGTTTTCCCATAGAATGGTGAAGGTTTTACACACGTGTGAAAAAAGTGACTTGAATTGACGAGATCGGGCACATTCAGGGTGGTATGGCTGTAGACAACAGTGACTTGAATTGAAATACATTTTCATTGGATGCCTTGATTTTCAGAAATTTTCTTTGAAACATTAGAAGTCTTAAGCAATTTAGGAGCTATGGAGAAAAAAAATATCTTAATTGCCTGATGACCTGGTGGTTAGAGAAGCAGTCTCTGAGATTGTCATATAGGGTGTTGACTGGGGAGGACTCTGGGGATCAGCACTGGGGAGAGGAACGGAGGACAGGGAAGGATGGGGGATGGGAGGGGACGGGAGGGAAGGGAAGGGAAGGGGAGGAGAGGGGAGGGGTTTGGGACAGAGGAAGAAGCTGGGCTGTGATGCACTCTCAAAAGATCTCCATTGCCACCCTAAAGATCCTAACAAGGCCGCTCAAGCGCATGGCTGTCAGCCAGCAGCACTCCCTGCTGGTAGGAGAATGAATAAACCCTTCAGTCCTGGAGGGGATCCTGGGCAGTGTATTACAGCAAGCATTACAGTGTCTTATCTTGATTCTTTTTTTTTTTTTTATCCTCACCAGAGGACATTTTTTTCCATTTTTGTTCAGATAGATGGGAGGGAGAGAGAGAGAAACATCGATGTGAAAGGGACACATCGAATGGCTGCCACCCGCACGACCAACCAGGGCTGGAGACAAACTGCAGCCGAGGTACGCGCCCTTAGCGGGAACCGAACCCGGGTCTCTCTGGACCGCAGGCCGGCGCTCTAACCGCTGAACCAAACCGGCCAGGGCCCCATCTTAGTATCTTATATAACTATTTTATGGTATCAAAACCTGGAAAGTAACATCAGTGTAATCTACAGACCTTATCACAGTTCATCAGTTTTTACATGTACTCTTTAGTGTGCGTGTGTGTGTAAGCAGGAACCGAACCCGGGTCTCTCTGGACCACAGGCCGATGCTCTAACCGCTGAGCAAACTGGCCAGGGCCTTATCTTGATTTTTTACTAACTTTTGTCAAATTAAATGATAATCTCTAAAAATAATGTTTATTTTTGTTGTTCAGATCTCCCATTTTACTCCAAAAAAAATTATTTTTTGGTTGAGTTAAATTCTAGTTTGTTAGTCCTCACACGAGAATATTTTTTTTCCTATTAATTTTTAGAAAGTGGAAGGGAGGGAGGTGGGGAGGGGGAGAGAGAGAAAGAGAAATATCTATATGAGAGACACATTGATTGGTTGCTCCCCACACACACTCTGACTCAGGGCCAGGGATCAAACCTGCAACACTTTGGTGCTGGGGGCCAATGCTCTAACCACTTAGCAACACTGGCCAGGGCAGTTAAGTTCTAGTTTGTAGTAAAATATTTTTATTTTATTTTATTTTATTTTTTTAAATCACTCACCCCTCCCGCCTTTCCAGAGGTAGTCACCATTTGCATTTTTTTTTTTTATCCTCACCCGAGGATATTTTTTTTTTTCCATTTTTTGTTCAGGTAGAGTGGGAGGGAGAGAGAGGAAGGGAGAGAGAGTGAGAAACATCGACGTGAAGGGACACATCGAGTGGCTGCCACCCGCACGACCAACCAGGGCCGGGGACAAACTGCAACCGAAGTACGTGCCCTTAGCGGGAACCGAACCCGGGTCTCTAACCGCAGGCCGACGCTCTAACCGCTGAGCCAAACCGGCCAGGGCTAGTTCTAGTTTGTAGTAAAATATTTTTAAATCTCCGCATGTGGATAAGTGAAAATAGACACACACATAGAGTTCATGTATGCATATACCAAACTAATCATAGTGGTTTCACCCAAAGAGTTGGATGGCATTGGGGGAAGGGGTCCTATTAGAAGAGAGCTTTCATTTTTTACTTTATACAGTGCAATAATATTTCAAATTTTAAAACAATTCCAACACAATTCTAAATACAAGTAAACAAAGAACATTAACTCTAGGAATTGAACATTATGGTTTCAGATCAGCTGTACCAATAATTTCCCATGTGACTAGAGTAAGTCACTTAGGTCTTTACTATCCTCCTTTATGAAATAAATAGGTTGGATCAGATGACCTTGAAGGTCCCTTTCAGATCTAACATTCTGACTGAAAGGGATTAAAAATAGATGCCAAGGATACAGCTAGTCTGAAGATGTCCAAACAATAATTTCAAGGGGTTTTCTATACTTCTAAAACAGGGCATTTGTCACCAATGGTCAGTGTATTTTGAGACCTTGTTTTTTTGTTTTTGTTTTAATTTTTTTTTATTCTGTAGTAAAATGTGAAATATGTAACCATTACAGACTAAAATAAGAGTCATACTGCCCTGGCCGGTTTGGCTCAGCGGTTGGAGCGTTGGCCTGCGGACCAGAGAGTCCCGGGTTCAGTTCCTTCTGGGCCCTAGCGGCTAGGGGCACGTACCAAAAAACAAAACAACTTAGAGTCACAGGCCCTGGTCAGTTTGGTTCAGCGGTTAGAGCGTCGGCCTGCTATATCATCCCACTATATCTCGTCTAGAGAGACCTGGGTTTGGTTCCCGCTAAGGGCACATACCTCGGTTGCAGTTGGTCTCTAGCCCCAGTTGGGGTTGTACAGGAGGCAGCCACTCGATGTGTCCCTTTCACGTTGATGTTTCTCTGTCTCTCTCTTCCTCCCACTCTACCTGAACAAAAATGAAAAAATGTCCTTGGGTGAGGATAAAAAAAAAAAAGAGTCATAGGATTTTAACTTCATCACAGGCTTTAAGCAGAAAGATTGAATTCAAATTCAGATGCCTAAAAAAACCAGCATCATCAACACAAGCAAATGTAACAGATTTCAAAATAATTCAGGCATTGTGAATTTTGAGAGGAGGAATGTTTTCAAAGTATATGCATTTCTTGGCCATCTAGTATTTGAGTTGAAAGTAACCAAAATTTCTTTTTGTGTATGGTTCACAGGTGTAGTACAGTGCATGTTAAAAGGGTGCTCTGAGCCCTGGCCGGTTTGGCCAGAGAGCCCCGGGTTTGGTTTCTGCTGAGGGCAGGTACCTCAGTTGCAGTTTGTCCCCGGCCCCAGTTGGGGTTGTGTGGGTGGCAGCCAGTCGATGTGTCTCTCTCACACATTGATGTTTCTCTCTCTCTCTCTTCCTCCCTCTCTCCCTCTTGCTGTATCTGAAGGAAAAAAAAAAAAAAGGGTGTTCTGAGAAAAAGCACCTAGTTACCATTAATCAGTCATCATTTAGGAGACCCTAAACGTTTTACTCCTACACTGTAATGATGTCACACTGTGAAATATGTAACTGCAGTGTTGGTAGACTGAAGTAACAATGTATGATTTTGATTTAACAGCAGGCTCTGAGCAAACTGTGTTATAAATATTCTTCAAGGAAAGATGATCCATTTTAACATTTCCATTTTGAATCAATACTTTTTTTTCCAGCTCTTTAACATGAAGAACATGACTGCTAATCTTTGAAATGAAGACTTGCTCCAAACCAGAGAATTTAAGACTCTGACCGAGGACCTGACAATTAAATAATTTGTCCCAAATTATATCTCTTGTCAAGGGTAGAGTCAGAACCAGATCTCAGCTCCTTTAATGTTTCCCCTCCCCTTTTACTCCTCTTAGTTTCTACTTGGGTCTAGATACCTTTTGATAAAGAACTGGATTTGCTTGGACCCTGCTTAGACTTGATTGTTGACTCTTTAAAAACTATTGTTTTAGCCTGAAGAACATGCTCCACCTCCCACCCTACTCCTTTCCTGCTCCTTTCTTCTCACACTGTAAGGACAAAGCATGTCAGGCTGGAAGTCATGGGGAAGTCAGGATAGGGAAGACCAAGGTTCTAATGAGGAAAAACCAAGTACAGAGTTGAACTCAGCAGACATTCTGGAACCCATGATTTTTTTAAAAAATGTTTTTATTGATTTTTTTTTTTTTTTTTTTTAGAGAGAGAGGAAAGGAGAGAGAGAGAGAGAGAAACATCAATGTGAGAGAGAAGCATTGATTGGCTGCCTCCTGCACACCCCGCACTGGGGACTGAGCCTGAAACCCAGGCATGTGCCCTGACTGGGAATTGAACTGGGATCTCTCAGCCCATGGAATGATGCTCAATCCTCTGAACCACACCAGCCGGGCAATTTTTTTAAACCTATAAATGTAACCCCTTTGGGCCTCTGGTTGCCTTCTCTAAAATAAGGAAATTGAACAAAAGGATCTTTAGAATTTCTCTGAGGTCTAAAATTCTAAACTTTTGAAGCTTTTTGTTGTTGTTCCTTTAGCAGGTGTTTTTTGAGGGCCTGCCACAGAACCTGGGGAGCGTGTAGAGAAAGTGGTTGTATTCTACACAGAAGATAAAATGAACCGAGACACCGAGAGAGCCATGGCAAACCCTGTAGAGACCAAGTGGAGCATGTGCTGTTAGTGGAGTATGAGTTGGGAGGAGCTAGATCACTGGGCATCAGAAAATTGCTGGTGCTGACAACTTTGTTTGGGTGTTGGATGACTGATTGGATTTGGTTAGATACAGGAAAAGAGTTTAAGAAATATTTGAATCCACATTTTTTTAATCCTCTATATTCTATAAGTTCTCTTCCATTTTTATCTAGAAATTCTGAGTTTATTTGAGAGTCTTAGTAGCTCAGGTGGCAGTTAATTAGGGGGGAAGAGAGAAGGGCATTCTTTTTTTTTCTTTAATGTGCAAAGAATGTCTACCTGTGATGTATGAGATTCTCTGGCCAAGACTGACATTTCTCTGGCCTTGAGGTTGTTGTTGAACCAATTATTTCAGTCCTCATTTTGTATGCTCTTTGAAACTAGAGTCGAGAGTATAAAAAAGGAAAGAAAGCATGGTCTGTTAGAAGCATAAAACCAGCTCTTCATCCTCCTCCACAAAAAGGAAAAAAATAAGCCTGAGTTACGCTTCAAGTAGGAGTGTTCTTGCAGTGCCAGAGAATTTAGGTAGTGCTGAGAGGAAGGGAAAAACATCAGTTCCAATTTTTTAAAATTTAAGTCGTTTTTATTTTTGAATTGCAGTTGACATGAAATATTATATTAGTTTCAGGTGTACACCCTAGTGAATAGACATTATATAACTTACTAAGTGATCATCCTACTATATCTTGTACCTATCTGACACCAAACATAGAATATTACTGACTATATTCCCTATGCCCTACTTTACATCCTAACTATTCTGTAACAACCAATTCATACTTCTTAATCCCTTCACCTTTTTCACCCATCTTCCCAAATCCCTCTCCCATCTGGCAATCATCAAAATGATTCCAATTTTGAAAGCTGACAGGGTGTATGTGTGGGAGCGAGAGAGACATTTACATCTGTTCATTACTTTCTCTTGCTTCCTCTCTCCTTAGTTTCCTCCCCTGCCAAATGTTCTCACATTAGTTTTCCCTTTCTCACTCATTCAAATATACATATGACTGATGCTCAGAAATACACCTCTACATCAAAAGGTAAATAACTCACACGTACCAATATATCCATAAGTATATTCATTGTCACATTCATTTAATTCAGCAAACATGAGTATCTGTGATATACTGTGCACAATACTCTATACTAGAAATGGAAAAATGAATATGACATAGTTTCTGTCCTAAAAAGTATATAACAACAAACACATATATATAAACACTGAGTTGTAAGCCCAGAGGTACACATATAAACATTTCTAATCCTACAAACATATAAGTACACATAAACCCACTGATATGTGCGTACACTAAAATATAAAAACAAGAGCTGCTCATTCATAAATTTCACAAGTTCTCAAACTACTGATACTGAAATATTTGGGGAAAGCATCTTCATTTTTCTGTTTTTCCTTTGTCATTTTTTTTCATCTCCTTTCAAATTCTAAAATTGATTTAACTTGACAGCTTTGTTCTTTTCTTATTTCTTGCCCTTGCCAGTTTGGCTCAGCAGTTAGAGCATGGGCCTGTGGACCAAAGAGTTTCAGGTTTGATTCCTGGTCAAGGACACATACCGCAATTGTAAGTTCGATCCCCGGCCCCAGTCCAGGTTGCGCAGGAGGCACTAATCAATATGTCTTTCTCACATTGATGTTTCTCTCTCTCTTTCTCTCCTTCTCTTTCTCTCACTCTATCTAAAAATCAATGAAAAAATACCCTTGGGTGAGGATTAAAAAAAATATTACTTTTTTAAGATGAATTATTCCACATGCAGAAACAGAAAAAAGATAATTTGCCAAAGTTAAAAATAAGTAAAGTACCTTCTCAGGAATGAAATCTTTTTATACTTAGTTGATAAAATGAAAATACTACTTATTTATTGATACTTTAATGATGTCTTCCTTGTAATGGGTATTTTGAACTGTGAATTATGAAATCTTTCCATTCTTTTTTATTTATTGTAGATATTTGAAGAAAGAAGAGCTCTGCTTGGAAAATGGGTAAACATTTAAAATATACTTACTTCTATATTATGCTATGTTACCATAGAGCCCCAAGAATTCAGTTTGGGCCCTGGTCGATTTGGCTCTGCAGTTAGAGCGTCGGCCTGTGGTCTGGGGAGACCCGGGTTCAGTTCCTGCTAAGGGCACGTACCTTGGTTGCAGTTTGTCCCCGGCCCTGGTTGGGTTGTGTGGGTGGCAACCACTCGATGTGTCCCTTTCACATGGATGTTTCTTTCTCTCTCTCTCTCCCTCCCACTCTATCTGAACAAAATATCAAAAAATGTCCTCGGGTGAGGATTAAAAAAAAAAGAATTCAGTTTGGATGTAAGATGATCAGTGATAATTGCTCATAGCCTGAGAAATTTGACTGGTACTTTCTGTATGTGTTATGGTTATCCAGAAAACTCAGTTATTTAATAGTCATAATTAAATTAATTTTAAATTTTTTCTTTATTGATTTGAGAGAGAGAGAGAACGAAACATCAGTTTGTTGTTCCACTTATTTATGCATTCATTGGTTGCTTCTTGTATGTGCCCTGATGGGAGATTGAACCCACAACCTTGGAGTATCAGGATGATGCTCTAACCAATTGAGCTGCTCAGCCAGGGCACCGACATAATTACATTTAATAAACAGAACTGGTTAAACAAATACTAGAAAACAGAAAAGACAAAAAGGGAGCACTGAGGTGCCATGCAAATAGAACTGTAGGAAGTAGCTTCTTCCAACTTTACTGATAGCTCAGGAGTTCAGAGAACACACCTTATGGAGCTGGGACAAGCCCTGTAGGAGACACAGACTTCTGAAGAATAAAGTAGATAGCAGCCAGCTGATTCCTATATATCTGAGGAATTGTGATGGTTCTAGGAGTGTGGAAAAAATTAGACACTGGAATCAACAACTGCCACCAGGGTGAAAAGTTAGGGTGATGCTCCCAGGAACAGCAAGGAAACAAAGGAGTAAGGCTGTTCTACCTCAGTTTCTCTCTAGTACTGCACTCTCCATTGGCAACATTTAACAGGAAGTTGGCTGTCAAAGGAGAAATACAGTTTATAGAAACCCAGCCTTCTATATTCACAAAGTAGAACATAGAAAGGTGAGTTTGGATCTGAGAGACAATAACTTAACTGAACTGACCAGCATAGTTCATCCATTTGGTTACTTAGGATCCGCATACACCATTATACATATGCTTCAAGTTGTTACAGTAATAACTTTATGCTATTATCTAACAAGATACAACTATCCTTTATACAAATGAAGATTTTCTTACTCTCTCTTCAAAGAGGAGACACAAAGCCCCAGTGCTCATTGTTCATCCCTGAGTCATGATCGAAATATCCATCTCTGGGCAATTACTTGTGAATCACTCTATAGTCCCATCTAGTAGTCTCTATCACCCAGAATTGCAAACATATGGTCATGTAAAAACTTGTACATGAATGTTCATAGCAACTTTTTGACTATTATTCATAGTAGTCAAAAAGTACAAACATGCAAATACCATTGACTTATGAATAAGCAAAAGGTGGTATACCCATACAATGGAATATCATTCAGCCTTGAAAAAGAAGGAAATTCTGATACAAGCTACAACATGAAATATGAAGGCATTGTGCTAAGTGAAATAAGCCAGATACAAAAAGACAAATATTGTTTTAGGATTCCATTTATATGAGGTACCTAGAGTAATCAGATTCATAGAGACGGAAAGGTTTAATGTTTATAGAGTTTCATTTTGAGATGATGAAAAAGTTCTGCAGATGAATAGTGGTGATGGTTGTACAACAATATAAATGTACTTAATGCCACTAAACTTTACACTTAACAGTGGTTAAAATGGTAAATTTTATGTTATGTATATTTTACCAAAATTTTAAAAAGTAAAGGTAAGAAATAGCAATAATGTGTTGATACATGGTACACCATGGATGAACCTTGAAAATAATATGCTAAGTGAAAGAAACCAGATACAGAGACCACATATTATATTATTTATATGAAGTGTCCTGGATAGGCAAATATATATTGACAGAAAATAGATTAGAGCTTTCCAGGGGGCTGGAGGACAAAGGGACGAGGGATTGACTGTAATGAGTATGAGATTTCTTCTAGGGGTAATGAAAATGTTCTGGAACTAGCTAGTGATGGCTACACAACCTTGTGAATATACTACAAACTATTGAATTGTATACTCAAAATGCTGAATTTTATGGCATGTGAATTATATTTCAATTTTAAAAATAAATTAAGGTTCCTTAAAAAAAAAACTATACTTGGATTTCTTTAACTCTTGATACATGTAATAAACTTGAAAAATTCCGTCTTTAAAGCATACAAAGCCTTCTTCCTTAAGGGGCCATCTTTGACCCAGAATATAACAGTAGACAATGTGTCCTTTACTTTGAGTTACTGAAACGTAAGTGTCTTAATCTGTTCAGGCTGCTATAACAAAATATATGGGCTTATAAACAACAGAAATTTATTTCTTATAGTTCTAAACACTCGGAAGTCCAAGATCAAGATCCTAGCAAATTCAGTATCTGGTGAGATCCCACTTTCTGGTTCATAGATGACTGTCTTTTCACTATGACCTTACAGGGCTGAGGGAGTGAGAGATCGCTGGGGTCCCTTTTTATAGGGACACTAATCCCACAATGAAGGCTTTGCCCTTATGACCTGTTCACCTCTGAAGCCCTTTTAATACCATCACCTTGGGGGCTAGGTTTCACCATATGAATTTGAGGGGGACATAAACATTCAGTTCATTGCACTAAGACTAACATAAAGTACTATTTCTTACTGTTCTTGTTTATCTTAGTTGGTCACCAGTTTTTTTCTGTGTTGGTCTACAAGCTTCAGTCTAAAGATATTTATTAACCTAAGTGGAAAAAAAATTGAATAGCATCTCTGGAAGGATTCACAAGAAAAGGGCCAGCTGTGCTTTCCTCCAAGGTGGAGAACTGTGAGTCTGTCGCAGGGTGGAAGAAACTCTTTTTTCTGAATAACTTTTCATACTTTTTGATATTTTTAACCATGTGAATGTATTACCTATTCAAAATAATAATGAATTTACTAAAAATTAATTTACTAAAAATTTAGAAATTAGAATTCCAAAACTTTGTGCTCAGCTGGTGGCTCAGTTGGTTGAGCATTGTCCTGTGCGCCAAAAGGCTGCTGTTTTGATTCCTGGTCAGGACACATACCTGAGTTTCGGTTTCCATCCTCGACCTGTTTCTCTCACTCACTCACTCACTCACTCACTCACTCACTCACTAACTCTCTCTCTCCCCCACCCCCTTCCTCTCTCTAAGCATTTCCTCGGGTGAGAATTAAAGAAAAAAAAAAACCAACTTAAAATCTAGCTGAGTTTTTCTCATATTCTCTATATATTTTTTAATTAACTCTGCTTCTGTTACCAACAACTTAAAAAAAGACTTATGTAGAATGACTTTTTTTTTTTAAATCCTCACCGGAGTATATTCCTCCATCTATTTTCAGACAGAGTGGGAGAGGGAAAGAGAGAGAGAGAGAAACATCAGTATGAGAGAGACACATCAATTGGCTGCCTCCCAGACGATCCCAACCAGGGCCAGAAACAAAACTGCACGTGAGGTACTTACCTTTGACCAGAATCAAACCCTGGACTCCTGGGTCTGAGAGCCAGTCCTCTAACCGTTGAGCCAAACTGGTCAGGGCAGAATGACTATTTTTGCACCAGCTATCATTCCCTTACTGTTAGTGGAAATCCCTAAAGTAATATAACCAGGGCTAATGTTCAGCCAGTTTTTGATGTGGCTGAGCAGCTTCTATTTTGATTGATTGATGACACTGACAATTATTATTATTTTTTTATCCTCGCCCGAGGACATTTTTTCCATTTTTTGTTCAGATAGAGTGGGAGGGAGAGAGAGGAAGAGAGAGAGAAAGAGTGAAACATTGACGTGAAAGGGACACATCGAGTGTCTGACACCCACAAAACCAACCAAGGCTGGGGACAAACTGCAACCTAGGCACGCGCCCTTAGCGGGAACCGAACCCAGGTCTCTCTGGACTGCAGGCTGACGCCCTAACCGCTGAGCCAAACTGGCCAGGGCTATTAAATATTTTTAATATCACCCTAGATAAGGTCTTCAGACATTTTTAAAGATATTATTTATTCTTTCTTTTACCATAACTAATAGAAATATACATTTGCAAATATCACTAATTATCTATCTTCTCCAATAGACTTTCCTATGGGTGGTGGTAGGAGTGGGAGGGGCAGACATGGTTCTATCGTGCTCTTTCTTATACGTTCCTTGATACTACCAGGCATTTGATAAATATTATCTAAATGAATACATGATATTGACTTCTTTTTCTTTTTTGCCTAAGAACAGACTTCTTTTTTTTTTTTTTTAATCCTCACCTGAGGATATTTTTCCATTTATTTTCAGACAAACTGGGAGGAAGAGATAGAGGAGAGAGAGAGAGAGAGAGAGAGAGAAAGAGAGAGAAACATCGATGAGAGAGAGCGACACATTGATTGGCTGCCTTCTGCATGACCCCTACCAGGGCCGGAGACCAAACCGCAACCGAGGTACATGCCCTTGACTGGAATGGAACCCATGACTCTTTGGCCTGTGGGCCAATGCTCTAACTGCTGAGCCAAACCAGCCAGGTCCAGACTTATTCTTTAAATTCACTAGATCATGTAGATTTTTTTGTTTGTGTGTTTTATGAGCACCATAAGAGATTGATAACATAAGAAATATATTTTCCCAAAAAAGAAAGGAGAAAAAAGGATACCAATTTTTCTTTTTACTTAGCATTAGTTGGGATTTTCATTGTAAGGATCAAGTATTGGTTTCAAAGCTCAATCTAGTATTAGAAGTAAAGTAATTTTAAAAAATAATCTGGACATTCATTGTGAGGTAAAATGTAATATGAAACCTCTTTAATGATAGACAATCCAAAAGTATTTTCTATTTGGCTATAGAATGTCATTTTTGTT